CTGTGAGGAGCCAGCAGGTCGTGGAGGACTTGGCAGGATGAGACCTGCAGTGATTAAGAAGAGCCCCCTTATATAGGGATGGGTGCAAGGCCCCCTAAGTTATTCTTTGCATTTTTCCTGCAGAGGATCCAAAATGCTTGGGGGAAGAAAAAAAAAAAAGGCCGGTGAGCATCCCTAACAGAATTGAGTGGTGGTTTTGAGTATGGGAAACTGAGGCAGGAGACAGCGTAGGGGGTAATCCCTCTGGCGTGCAGAAGGAAGGGCATTTGGGCTGAGCACCTGCAGCGCAGGCTGTGCTTGCAGAGATGCTCGGCGAGGCTCGGGGGATGTTTGCGAGACACCTAAAGCAACAGGTGGTTACAAAAACCGCCCGCAGCATCCCCAGCCAGTTGGCAGCAGAACGACATTCCTGTGGTGGGATTTCTCCGGTCTCTTGGGTGCAGGCGAGATGTGTTTCGAAGCTTTCCTCTGCAAACATGACGGCTAAGATCCCTTTTTCTTTTCCCCTTGCTCTTGCAAGCAAGGAGTCTGCGATCCCTGACTCCAAGAGCTGGTAATGCCCAAGAACCATGGCAGAATCGGATCGGTCTGATTAAGCTGGGATTCCTCGCCTGACTTCTGTGGTTTTTCTGGGCAGATTTATGAGGTTTTAGGAGTGCTGTTGCAATCCCTTCCCTCTAAGACCAGGTGGGTGCTGGAGTGTGCGGGATGGGGCACTGCTGGGGCACCACTGCCGGCTCTCCCACACCTGGGTCGACCATCAAAGTGACCTTGGAGGCAAAGCCAAAGCCACCCTGGAGCCTCAGGTCCCCTCGTGTCCTGCTCCTAGGCTCACTTTAGGATATTTTGCAGCTTGAGCGGGTGAGTTTGCTTAATCCCTTGACAAAAGGAGCCGGCCCCTCCTGAGCCCATCCCAAAAGCAACCGGAGTGGGATTAAAGGGGATCTTTGCAAAGCAAAGGGGGACCTGCGCTGATGCTGCCATCCACCAGCATCGCTGGTGCTTTTCCTCTGGGATTTGTCCCCCAGGTGTGACCCCAAGCATGAATCTGCTTTGGTGCAAGGGCTCGGAGAATGGGGCAGCCTCCCTGAATATCCCCCTGGCCGATGTACTTGCTTCCTCGCATCACCCCATAATGTTAAACAGCTGCCGCGTTTCAGCCCCGCCGCGGGCGCGGTGAGCGCCGATTATCGGGGGCTTCGGTATGAAAGGCACAGCGTGAAGGGAGCTGGCTCCCACTGAAGCAGCCCAGGAGCAACTGCAAACTGCAGCGTTCCTGCCCCAGGATGCTCTCGGGACGGGGTTTTGCTTCATGTTCATTCGTGCTTGCAAAGAGGTGGTGGCAGTCCTGCATGTGCCTCAGTTTCCCCTGCCCTGAAAAGGGGTAATTGCTTCTTTTGCAGGTCAGCCCCAAATATCCAGCAAAGAGAGAAAAGGGGGGG